TGTCCTGGTTTCTTATATCAATGATGAGGCTTGCTCAATGCAATTCTAAAATTAAATAGCGCAAAAACAACTGAACCAAATATGAACATATATGGTATATTTGGAATAAGAAGAAAAAAAGCTGTCATTCTAACCAAAAATATACAGGTTGTGTCATTTGAAAAATGCAAGTGTTTGTCATTGTGACAGTTGGCACCTGTCATTTGCCAGTTTTGACATTCGCAAAAGATAATAGACATAAAATCCTACAACTTTCATATATAAAGTTTTTTTCCACCTCGTAAAGCTGTAGGTAGAGGGGTCAAAATATAAGGAATCCCGCTGTACCTGTAAAACTGTGAATCATGGACTTGGATGGTCCTAGAGTTAACAGCATTTAACAAAACTTAAAAATATTAGTTACGTACCTACTTACCTATAATCGAATAATATCAAGAACTAAGACCGCCCTAAACTTATCTCAAGTTATAAATATAGCTTTAAATTTCTTTCATGGTAAATTAACACGTTCGCTGCTCATGACTCATTAATAAGTCATGCGCTTTATTTACCATGTGCGCGTGACCTATAAATAAGTCATCCGTCGAACATGTTTTCAAGGGATGAACGAAAGGTTAGCACCCAGGGAAAAACCTTTCGCTCGACGAGTCCATGGTGTTGTGGAGGGGTAGACTGTCATTCCGCCAGTACATCAAGAACAAACGGCATAAGAACGGGGTAAAATTGTACATTCTGACAGAGCCTGATGGTACACTCTTGAACTTTGACGTCTACACTGACCAGCTGGGCGACTTTGGCGGAAAGGGCCACGCGGCAAATGTGGTACTTCATTTATTGGATGGGCGGCTAGATGTTGGACATTCAGTTTATATGGACAATTTCTACAATAGCCATGCCCTCGCCGTAAAGCTGTTGGACCACGAGACATACTGCACAGGGACTTTGAGCACGGACCGCAAGAACACTCCACCTGAAGTGAAAACTTCCAAATTGAAAAAGGGGGAAACCATCGTCAAATACAGCGATGATGGTGTTCTTATTGGCAAATGGCGAGATAAGAGGGAGGTGGCTTATATTTCCACGGAATTTGACAACGAGATGGTGGCATTCCAAGATAAATTAGGGAGAAGACGCGAAAAGCCTAAACCTATTTTTTATTATAATGAAAATATGGGAAGAGTTGATAGGCAAGATCAGCTACTCTCATATTATCCATGCGAGAAGAAAACAATTTGCTGGTATAAGAAGCTTGGGGTACATGCACTGCAAATGCTTCTAATTAATTCTTATTTGCTATATAAGAAATTCACGAAAGCTCAATCAATGAAATCAATGTATGACTTCCGGCTAAGTGTAATTGACAAATTAGTCCCTCCAAAAGCTGTCCTACAAATGACGCCGAAGGAAAACACTCACAATCCAAAGAAAAATGCCCTAGGGCCTAAGGGAAAAACGGCTATATCGAGGCGGTGCACTTGGTGTTGGAACCATTTGAAAAAAAGACGAAACACGTCATATCATTGCCCGGCATGCGTGGGTACACCTTACCTCTGCATTGGCGATTGTTTCGCAAATTACCATAAGAATTAATAAAATATAACTATTTTTATGTTAATCTCATAAATAAAGAAAGAAAATATCGTTAGATCGTGTCGTTTTTTGATTCCCAAATTCAGAAATAACTCGCCTGAATTAGGTCTCTGCAAAAATTATAGTCAACAGGGCCATGACTTCTAAATAAGTCATTAGCACTACATTACCATTATGGTGCTTAGTGCTTATTTAGACGTCATGGCCCTTTTGGCCCTAATTTTTGTAGGAACTTATTTCAGGCCAGTTATAAATGCAATTTCTGAAAGAAATACCTCTGATTTATGTTAAAAGTTCGTTAGCACTAGGGGCCCTCGTTGTAAATTTGAGTCGCATCGAACGTGTTAAGCCGAGTCTTAAACTTCAAATGAGTTCTCAACCAGAAACCAATAGGTATGTGAAAAATAGACACATTTAACAACTTTCAACAAAACAGGAATCCCATGGTTTGTTGTAAGTTGTTAAATGTTTTATGGAAATTTTAAAATAAAAACATTTTATTCATTACATCAAGCTTTTTTAAAATAATGTACTGGAGTCTGGAGTCGGTCTGGCTTCATTTATAATATTTTCGTTATCTATTTGGAAAAGTAGGGATCTTTCTATATTCATACGCATGAAAGATTCAAGCCTGCTCTTTGCTCTCGTCACCTATTTCTTAGCCTTCTCAAAATATTTGAGAATATAAAACGATCATCTTTCACATATCACGGCCCGTATTCTCATAACCCTGGCCTTCTCAAAAGAACGATTGCTCTGTCTTAGCCGCCCATAATGTTATTTCCATAATACTCACAAAGACAGAGCAATCGTTCTCTTGAGAACTCTGTTGCCTGGATACGTGAATACGGGTTATTATTTCTTATAAGCGACGTAACAGCAATACACGCACCCTGCAGAAACAAGTTTTTTTTGTATCCTTGTCCTTGAAATCTTTTTGCGCATTGTGTTTATCATCCACATCTTCACTATAGGCAGGTTGACACGGTCCAAGTGTACTCGGATCAAGTTCCCATAGACGCTGCGCGCGCCTCACTTGAACGATACTTGGATCGTACCAGCTTTTTCTCCAAGTCACGTTGGAAAGGTCCTAACATCTAAGTAAGTAGGCTGGCTGCCAACTTACTTGGTCCAAGTTCTCATCCAAGTGCACTTGCACCAAGCTTTTGGACCGTGTCAACCTGGCTTAAGAGTGGAAATGTCGATTCTAGCAAACGTTTCCTGAAGAGATAACTTGTAATATGAATAGTATATTTTCATCAATTTTATTAGTAGGTACTTAGTTACTTCTCACCACCAACCGGCGAAATTTCCCGGTCTCCCGCCTGTCCCATCCGTCCCTGACGAAGATCATCCACAAGCTGTACAAGAAACCAATCAACTTGAAGTACGACCATTGCAGGAATTAACCAATCACGTATTTACAAATACAAATACAAATGCTCTTTATTTTCATTGATTTAAAATACAATTGCAATAATTTTAAAGCTAAAAAGCACATAAGTTCAAATGAACTTGTGTGTGCAAAAAAGTAATTCAACGGTAGCACAATTTACAGTAGGTATAATAGTTCAAGATGTCGAGCAGCAAATACAAGTAGTAGAACAGAGTTCAATTGTAAAATATAACAAAAAAATAAAATAAAATAAAATAAACAAAAACAAGTTAATCTAACTCACTGGAATATAGGATAAACTCAACAGACCAGAAGTTAAAGAGTACAGGAAGTAGAGCCATAAATGCCACAAAGACTTATGTCAAAATGCCCTTAAATATATTTATCCTTCCAACAAACAGAGACTGCTAAGGATGACATAATTGAGAGCCTGAAAATCGAGTTGAGGGAGGCCCTTGCTAACATCGCACAGCTGGAGAAACATTTAAAGAAACAACGTAGACTTACACAGGATTTCACGGATGATGTTCAGATTGCTGAAGATCGCTATGTTGGAGAAATTGAACGGCTTGAAGTTACAAGTGATATCAAAAGTAATGGAAAGAGTTGTGAACAATCACCTAACCAAGTACTTGGAAAAGTACAAAATTATCAACGATAAGCAATACGGATTTCGAAAATATAGGTCAACTGGCGATTTACTTACATACGTCACTCACTTATGGCAAAAAGCGATTGAGTTGCGGGGTGAAACAAGAACAATTGCCTTAGATATATCTAAAGCATTCGACAAAGTTTGGCATGAAAATCTGCTCAACAAGCTCAAAGCAATGGGATTATCGCCGAAACTTTGCACTTGGTTTGAAAGTTACCTAAAGGACAGATCCATTTATGTTGCACTGGATGGCCAGAACTCCAACTCTTACCAAATAAATGCTGGTGTGCCACAGGGAGCAATCCTTTCGCCAACTCTTTTCCTGATTTACATAAATGACCTCATAGATAAAACAGTAAATCCACTTTATTGCTTTGCAGACGATGGCAATGTAGTCTCCTCACTCATACCACCCACAGGTCTTTCCGCACGTGAATTCCATCATCTTAGACTAACTCAAATATCGCAGATAAATAACGACCTGGAGATAATAGAGGACTGGGGTAACAAAAACCTTGTACAGTTCAACGCGCAGAAAACCCAAGCAGCTCTGTTTTCAAAAAAGACCAGCACCGGTGAGCCAAACATTATGCTATCTGGAAGTGCTGTCACATTACAGAGTCAGTTGAACATCTTGGGGGTTACTGCAGAGACCAACATGTCTTGGCACAGTCACGTGGCAGATATTGCTAAAAGGGCCTCCCAAAAGCTGGGGGTGCTATTTCGTACAAGACATCTGTACACACCAAGCCAATTGCTGACACTCTACAAAGCCCAGATTCGACCAACTATGGAGTACTGCTCACATATATGGAGTGCAGCACCCAAACATACCTTAATGCTTTTGAATACCGTGCAAAAACGAGCTATCAAGCTGATCAATGACCCCGCACTTACTCGTAACTTGGATGGTCTCGAACATCGCAGATCTGTGGGCGATTTATCTCTCTTCTACAGGTACTATCACGGAAAATGCTCTGAAGAGTTGGCACGTATGATTCCACCGAGAGTAGCGCCTACCAGGCGAACCCGTCAAACAGACGGTAACCATGAATTTACTGTCAAACTAGAGGCACCAAGAACCTCATTATATCAGAATTCATATCTCTGGAGAACAGCATCGCTGTGGAATAAACTCCCTGCGACGGTTTTCCCTGCAGGTTACAACCTGAACCGTTTGAAGACCAACATACACCGACATTTCCGCGCACTTGCCGCTTCTCGAGCGTGATAGGACATTTCCTTGCGAGTGCGCATATCCGTAAAAAAAAAAAACAAAAAAAAACAAAAAAAAAAAAAAAAAACAGAGAACTTAGGAGTAAAATAAAGGAATTTGAAGACGCCAAGTCTAAACTTGGTATGGTTTCATTAGCAGTGCAAACTGATCCATTTTTCAGGAAAGACGATTCACAGACTGAGTCCGAACTAAAATATCCGCCATCTGAAGCTCAAGGCAAGCAGAATGATTCGGAACTCAATCCCACTTTTCTACGTCCAACAATAAGTCAATATGCTCAGTCTGATGAAGATGTTTTGGGAGTTGCTCATTTAGATCTGACACTGCGGGATAAAATATGGAATTTGGAAGAATTAAGAGGAGAATTGATGACCAGTATAGAGGTACTCACAGCAGAAAATGAGTTCTATGCTAAACGCGTGGTGGAACTGGAAGATGAACTTTCAAGGAGGTTAAAGAGTTCGCAAATAGTGGTGGATCATGCTGATAATGCTTCTGTTGGGAGATCGGCTCCAGAGGTAAAGCCTGTCTCTCCAAATAAAGACTTTCACCGTAAAGTTTTAATTCTCGGTGACGAGAGTGGGAAAAATTGTAGTACGGTTTTGTACAACCAGCTTAGTGGGTTGACTTACGAGGTTTCAAGTCTCATCAAAACGAATGCACCATTGAAAGAAATTGCTAGGGACATATTTAACTTAACACGTGATTACAATCATAATGATTCGGTTGTTGTATTCTTACACATTAACGTAAATTCAATTCACAACACCTCACTGTTGAATCAGTTTTTTTCAATTGGTCGATACACTAATTTAATAATGTGTTTTACATATAATGATTGTGTTTTTAATAGCCCCATGTACAGAAGAATATATGCTCATCTTGGTGACTTTACCACTAGAAATAATGTCTCAATTAGAGTGATAGATAACTTTAGGATAGGACGTGGTTACAGACACAATGGCTCCACTTTTGGCAAACTATTGGTTAACTACGTAACTAAGTCGTTACACTTCAATATAGTTAATGTGTCTGTGGCCAGTGGGAATGTGATCTTGTCTGATAATGGGCAAATAAATCTTGAATCCCTACGTTGGTCGGATCCTCTGGAACAGGTGCAGAATGTAGATGGTGGTGTCCAGGTTAGTCCTATATTTCTTGACGCCTCTAATAACAATGACGAAGGTATACTCAATTTATCACAGGTTCCTACCGCCAAAAACGGGAAGGGGGAAAGTGTAAATAATCTGATCGCTGAGGATATATTCGCCACAACGGCTATCAATAAAAGTACTTTTTTAGGCTAGACGATCATTTTCATAGCATATCCCTCTTATTATTAAATATACAATCGATTCGCAATAAAATTGATGAATTTTGGGTGTTTTTAGAGAGCTGTAATTTTCCGGATTTTGTAGTAATAACGGAGCATTGGCTCAAAGATGGGGAACCTATCTCTATACCAGATTATAGTTTAGTATCAGTGTATTGTAGAAAGAACTCTATTCATGGGGGTACCTTAATTTTAATAAACAAAAACTTTTCTAAGAAATTTGAATTTGAGAATAGCCTAAGGTTTCAAGATTTGATTGTTGAGAAAGAGTTTGAATTGTCTGTTTGTAAGTGTAAAAAATTGAATATGTTTTTAGTTTCTGTATATCGTCCGCCCCAATGTAGTGGGAGTGTATTTTTGGAGAGGTTGGAGTTTCTTTTGTCGAATCTCTGTCCTCAATTTAGTGTTGTCTTGACGGGGGATTTGAACATTGACTATGACAGTGAAGATTCTTCATGTACTCTGGCATTGAAGCATTTGTTAAAATCATTTAATCTTAAGATGCATGTTAATTCGCCAACTAGAATCACAAATGATTCTGCTTCTGTTTTGGATTATGTTTGTACCAGTTTGGATGATGATGTCTTCTGTAATGTGGTGAGCGCGGGCCTCTCTGATCACGAGGCTGTGCTTTGTAGCTTACCAGTTTGTGGCCGGAAAGCTCCGCGGTCGGAGGAGCGAGGTAGGATCTTTTCAGGGAGAAATTTTAATAAGTTTTACCAATGCTGCCTGACTGTGGACTGGTTGGGTACTTTTCGTACTGAGGATCCCTTGAGCAGGTTCCATGTCTTGTTGACTGATGTCTTTGAACGTTCATTTCCGGTTGTGAGGATTAGAAACAGGAGGCATAAACCATGGATTACTGGGGGAATAAGAAGGTCTGGCAGGAATCTTCGGGCTTTACATTATATACGTAAATATTTTATGGACTGTGGTTTTTTTGTGTCATATTTTAATAGATATAGGTCACTTTATCGTAAAACGTTGAAACTAGCCAAAAGAACTTATTTTGAAAATCGCATAGTCAATTCTCAGAATGGGCAAAGAGAGAGTTGGAAAATTGTTAATCAACTAAGAGGAAAGCATAGTAGGATTGAGGCCCGGACTGACGTAACGCCTAATGAGTTGAATAAATTTTACTGCTCCATTGCTCGGAAGCTTGCAAGTGGTATTGTTCCTCGGTGCAATCCATTGGACTTTCTACAAAATGTTAGTGTTGTTCAGTCTTTTTTTCTAGCACCTACGGACTTGAGGGAAATTGAGCAGACCTTTAAGGATATTAAGAGTAAGTATGCAGCTGGATATGATGGCATCTCTATCAAACTCCTGCAGGGGTTGCCAAGGTCTGCACTTGATGCTTTGGTTGATGCCATAAACCATTCTTTTTTTCTCGGTTTTTTCCCGAGTTCATTGAAGGAAGCGGTTGTGATACCAATTTATAAGGGTGGGGATATTTCTGAGCCCTCCAATTTCAGACCCATCTCATTGTTACCCACAATTGGTAAGGTTATCGAAAGGCTAGTTAAAAACAGAGTTGTGTCTTTCCTACATAAGAATAAACTGTTGAGTTTGGCTCAGTTTGGGTTTCAGAGTGGTGTGGGCACTGTTGATGCAGTTTTTGCATTTCTTGAGGATCTGTACTTCCAGCTTAATGAGAAAGAGGCGGCTGCGGCAGTCTTTTGTGATCTATCAAAAGCCTTTGACTGTGTGGATCATGGAATACTGTTGCAGAAGCTTGGACGGTATGGTTTCAGGGGTACTTCGTTGAGTTGGTTTGGGTCTTATCTTTCGGGCAGGAACCAGCATGTTAGGCTACATGGTGCCAATTCGGACAAGTGGGGTATAGAAGCGGGACTGCCTCAGGGTTCAGTTTTGGGACCCATTTTGTTTCTGATTTATATCAATGATATGACCTCCCTTAACATCAGAGGTAAATTTACAGTGTTCGCTGATGATACCACAATATTGTGGCACAGCAAGAGTTCTGAGGAATTGGCCAAGATGGTGGCGGATGATATCAATGGGGTGAAGGACTGGTGTGATGCAAACCACCTTACTTTCAATGTCTCGAAAACTAATATTTTAAACTTTAATTGTCATATAGGTGATATAAACCTCGGCAGTAGCCTAATCTCTAACAACTTGAATGCAAAATTCTTGGGTATAAATATAGATAATAGGTTGTCTTTCAGGAACCACATAATGAACCTGTGTAACAAATTGGCCTCGGGGTGCTTTGCGGTAAGGGTTGTATCAAGGGAACTAAATTTAGGTATGACAAAATCGGTTTACTTCGCACTTATTGAGTCCCATTTAAGATATGGAATCTGCTTCTGGGGTAATTCGAGCCATTTCCTGATAAATTCTGTTTTTGTTCTGCAGAAAAGGGCTGTCAGGTATATGTGCAGGGTTGGGGCTAGGGAATCTTGTAAACCCTTGTTTATTCAAAATAACATTCTGACCCTGGCAGGTATATTTATTTTGGAGACTGTCTGTTTAATGTTTAGGAAGTTCGGAAGAGAGACGAGCGCGTCTCATTATAATACGCGTCAAATAGGCACTATACCTCTACCTATACCTCATACTGCACTTGTGAGGAATTCTTTGTTTTACACTGGTAAAAAAATGTATAACCATTTGCCTATTAGCTTAAGATCCCTAGAATCCCTAAAAAGATTTAAATTGGCTGTAAAGGAGCTATTATTAAAGAAAGCCTACTATAGTGTGACTGACACTTATCTTGTACCTGTTTTATTATTGTTTTTAAGTCTTTGTTTATTTTTTAATTTTGATACATTTTTCGTCTTAAATTTTATTTATTGTTTTCGTCATTTTATTACATGATATTTTATGGTGGTACATGTGTAAGTAGTTAACTTGTCTGTACTGTACTTCTTATCTTGTTTATTTCAATATGTTTTGTTCAATTTAAGAATTTTTAATTTAAAATCGTGTATTTAAATTTTTTTGCTAGTTTTAAGTTGCTTTGGTAATGAGATTGATTTTTCTTATATCAATAAAGCTATTTTGATTTGATTTATATCTATATTTTGTATCACATATAATCTGCTTTCACTTTTAAATTTACTCAAGTTATTTATGTTTTTAATTTGCAAGGGTAAAGTATTGTATAGCTTGATGCCTGTGTAGTCAATAAACTTGATAAATGTACAATTTTTAGGTTGTTGGGTACTGTAGTTTTGGTTTTGAATTGATCTTGTAACGTGATTATGACTAATTTTTTTAATGTCCCCCCTCTTATGAACAAAGAGTACACATGCCATTATATATAATGTATCGAAGTCCTGCAAACCTGTTTCTTTGAATAGTTCACTTGTCGGAAATCTCTGTGGTTTTCCATGGATCACTTTCAGAACCCATTTCTGGAGTATTTTCAGATTTTCATATTTGCATTCATAACCCCCACCCCAGATAGGAAGACCATAAGTAATTAATGATTCAAACAAGGCTTTATAAACCTGCTCAAGTACAGTTATGCTTAAAAAAGTTCTAAGTTTTCTAAATTTGTACATGGTTCTCCTCAACTTGTCAACTAAAATAGCCACGTGACGGTCCCATTTTAGGCACTGATCAATTTGTAATCCCAGGTATTTGATATCATAGGTGTTGAATATTTTCAAGTTGCAGTTACAGATGGAGTTGTTTTGACATGTATGTATAGTTAAAGCATTGAAATCTGGTTGGCCACTATTTTTCAATGAAAAGGAAATGTATTTGGTTTTTTGAGTGTTTAAGCTTTAAGATTCGAATTTAACCAGCCTTGTATATGTTTGATTTGGGCTTCTGCCGCTTCTTTTGTTTCAGCCCACGTTGGTTTAGCCACTGTCACCACTGTGTCATCGCAAAAGGAAACAACCAGGACTTCAGAACTATTTAGGTTTAATAGACTGTTGATGTAGACCTTAAAGAGTAGAGGACCCAAAATTGTGCCTTGTGGTATTCCCATGGGCAGAACTCTAGGTTCACTAGTTTCCGAGTTATATGAGACAATCTGTTCCCGATTTTCTAGGTAGTTCTCAATTAAATTTGCAGCTATCCCTCTAATTCCATAGTTGCTTAGGGCGGTCATAAGCTTATTATACGGAACCGTATCAAAAGCCTTTGCCAAATCCAGGAAAATAGCAATAGGCTTCTGACCAGAGTTCAAGGCAGCGTGCAAATGGCCAACCAACATGTGCATTGCGTCTACTGTTGAGACACCCTTTTTAAAACCAACTTGTTTATTCGAAACGATGTTGTGCTTTTCCAAGAAGTCTTCAATTCTGTTTTTCATTGTCTTTTCGATTATCTTAGCGATATTGCTTACTAAAGAGATTGGTCGATAGTTTGTTACCTGAGCCGGGCCACCCTGTTTAAAAATAGGTACAACTACTGTTTTTTTGAAGATTTTTGGAAATTTACCTTGCTCAAAAATTTTATTCACCATATAGGTAATAGGAGGCGTTATGAAATCGGCTACTAGCTTCAACAATGTTGATCTTATTCCATCAGGTCCAAGACTAGCACCATTTTTCAAACTTATTATTGTTTCTTTTATTTCCCTTTCTGTAACTGTCTTTAGAAAAAGAGTCTGAGATATGCTACTTTGTTGAATCACGTTGTCATTGTTGACATTATTTATCTTTTTTGCCATGTTTAGGCCGACACTTGTAAAAAATCTATTGAATTCGTTTGCTATATTAGTCGGGGATCAGACTGCCGAAAAGACGTCTCCTACACATCGAACTGTGCACTCGAAGATATACGATTTAAAAAGTATGTACAGGGTGGAGAATGACCTTGCGGATC